GTATAATGTTTTATTGATAATGCTAAATGTCCAGCTCTTCAGGATAATGTAATTTTTAGGAGGGAAGGGACATATAATTCTTTCTGAGAACTTAGAGAATGCTTGTGAAAGTACCTAAACTTATCAGTAAGAGAAGATTTATTTTGAACATTTTCCCAGTTATTCTGATGTGTAAACAATGTTTCATCAACTTAATCAAGAGGATCATCCTTGACAGAGACCTTGAAGCTGAAATACCTATTGCATGCCTAAGTAGAAAATCCTTCTGCGATGGAAGAAGAATACAGGTGTCAAGTCAAAAGCAATGCTATTAAGAAAACCTAATCTATGGAACTTTAGTCTAGAGAGGCTTCTTTTTAAACATTTTTTACTCAACAGAATTCTAACTACCATGAAGATTTTTAAAACTGGTACTGAGATTTTCAAAGGCACCTGAAGAGAAAGAAAACAGTCACATTTCTTTCAAAACTAAGGGAAATTGGTCTGAACACTGGCTTAGGGACTTCAGAATTTTGCTCACTCACATTTCTACATACATAAAGCTATTGTCGTTTTAAGAGTTGAGCATCTTTAAAATAGAAGTAATTTATTCAAGAACTTAATTGTAGATTAAGAAAAGCCCCCAAAAGCATTCAATGTAATTAATGCAGTAAAGGTAATAATATAAACAGAGAAATAAAAATCGAGTAATATTCCCCAGGAGAAACTGACGTGATTTATAAAGATTATGAAAATAATGCAATAGTAATAGATAATAACAGTGCAATAATAAACTTTAAAAAAGATACTACACCATGTATTTCACCAAGTAACTAACACTAAGCACTGGAATGTCAATTAAACTTCAAAACTAAGCACAAAAACATTAAAGTATGTTCTGTGCTGACCTGATCATTAGTTCAGAGAAGAATAATAATAATCCAGTGCAACAAAGAAGAAGGTATGTGTTAAAGACATCACCTCTTCAAGATTTGCCATGCACATGACATACAGCTTGGATGGGAACGGGAAAGGCAGTGGAAACCGGTTGCTTTCACTTCGCTGGTTGTGAGTAGCTAGAGAGTGCCGTAGGGAGCCTCTGCCGATCCCCAAGCAGCCATCAGTGACAAGAACAACCTTGAGTGAAAGAGGATAGATGAGCATTTCCAAGACAAGACACGTTTCTATCTGCAGAGGGCAACTCTAGACCAACACATTTCAGTGGTCTTCCTAGCAGCATGCACTTCTATACTGAAAATCCCTGCTCACATGGGGATTTCCTCCACTGAGCTGGGGGAAAGAATTGTGAGTAAAATTGGTACATAAATGAGAAACTGAAGATTTAACCATAGCAATTTAAACTATGTGCATGGTAAATATACATTTTGTTGTAATTAGGCAATTGCACTAAAATTTTACTTCCATACCCAGAAACACACCATGCTGTGTATAAACATGGCCTTATTTAAGTGCACACTAGAAGAACAGTGACTATACAGCCAAAAAATCAGCCTCCTGCTGCTGGACTCAAGAACTCCACATTTATTTTCAGATGGAAGATAATGGCCAACTATGACCATTTCTTCTGCAGAATCTGGAGGGTGACCCAACTTTGGCTATAAGCCACAGAAGCCTTACAAAAGGTAGTATTAATTACCCTGACTCTTTGCAAACAAATGCAGCTGCAGTATGCTCACATTTTGCAGCAGAACTATTAAAGCAAAAATACACATTTTTCCATTCAGTTGCATGTCCAAAGTCACTCCTTGTAGAAATGTGCTCTGATAGGTTACACTGAATAATGGAACTATTTACACACAGCTGAGACCCAGTCATTTCCAGAGTAGTGAAATAGCTGTTCCTTCAACACTGCACAGCAACAGAAGGCATTACTTTTGGCTGAGAGGTAAGGAAAACCAAATTCAATTGAAACTCAATGTATATCTGCTACATCCACATGTGTATCCTCTCTTCATCCTCAATCTTTCTCCTTTGCAGTTTCTTCAGTTACCATCTGAACTGTTGCTCACCCATAATGTTTTTCACTGTTACAAGGTTCTGCACAGTACATTCCCCATGGCCTTCCATCAGCCCATCATCTGAAGTTCCAGTAAAATGAGCCATGACACAAATGAGACCTAATTGTTGAGGTCTTGCTTTTTACATCTTTCTAGGTCTTTGCTTTGAATGTCTGCTTTTCCAAGGTGCCTTTTGTCCATATTAGGTTATGAAGCATTGCCCAGACAATAAACCCCTATCTTTTTTTTCTCCTTAAGGAATATTGCTTGAGATATCTTCCTAGCTCACTGAGCTGCAAAATTACTGAACGTAAATCCTAATCCAAAAAGCAACATATTCTTAAGAGTCTCAGAAAACTGAAAGCTAAAAGCAGACTGCCATTGGAGGCAGCAAATTCATAAGGCTGAGAGCTGCATGGGCTGAACGGAGTGTGTGAGCAGATGTATGCCAAATGACTCATTAGGGATAGAAGACGGATCAAAACACACCCGGCAGTAGTCCCATCCTGTTGCTTGAGACCTGGAACTTTTAGAAGCTCTGGAAGCCATCAGGTACTGGAGGAGAAAGGTTACTGTATGTCTAAGTATACCCTTTCCAAACTGAGTGAGGCTCCTGGGACAGAAGATTGCATCCAGATCAAATGCCAAGCCTCCAAAATAGTTCTTTTGGGCCGGATTTTATAACCCACTACAGTAACACATTGGACAGGAATAAGTCTAGTTTTTGGCTGCTGAATACTTAAAGATCACCTTCTGTTCATATTCCAGATATATCCAATATACTAATTCTTTGTCTTCCTGTAGCACCAGCATGCCTGAGACTATTCAAAGTCTCCAAATTACATTTATATTTCCATTTGCAACTTACAGGGAATATTAAGTGTACACCACATCCTAAAAACAGTGAAATCAATCATACCTGGCAAGGAATTGCTGCACCCCATTCCTGCTGGACAATATTGCAAACCCCCAACAGTGCTGACTCTAAACAGGTTTTGTCATAATCATCCATGTTACTTAGGGCTTCCTGTAAAGACAAACACCACTGTCATTGCTGGGTGAAATACCCCTACCAGGAAACACAGAGAAGTTATTCACAGTTCTGTGGTAAGTCAGTATGTTTGCTTTGCGTTGTAACACAATGCAAAGTGCTATGTTCTTATATATGACGTGCAAAGTTTAAAAAAAAAAAGTAAAGATATAAAAAATAGTGAACAGTATCATCAGACAACAATGAAAGTGTACTTTGAAGAAACCATAGTATTACAAACACAGCCCTTTGGGAGAATAAATACTGTTTCTTTGACACATGACAAAAGGAAAGTCAAAATTTGAAGCAATGTCTAACATGAAACATTTAGCTTAGAAAATCTTCCCAGGTGTCAGAGCAACTTTAACTTCTTAGAGATTCAGAAAGCAGGCCACAAGGAGCTTGTGTCACAAAAACTCTTCGGCATAAAGAGTAGCAGAATCCAAAACTCATATCCACATCCTGTTTCTATAACCATAAATCAGCTTGTCTCCTTAAAATGAAAATGTCACAGTTAACACAGCATCATAAGAAGGGTGCAGCTGTAAAACTAACATGCTAGAGGAGCTTGGCTTGATTCTTGGCTTTCAGAAATTCCTCAAATGAACAATTAGGGAGGGGAAAATAAAGCAAGGAGACTGCACTGGCATTCAGCTGGTAAAATGCAAACGCAACAGAGAATACCTTTTAAAATCTGTACATCCTACAACCAACAAACCTAAAACATGGGGCCCTGTGACAGTGACGTATCACTTCTTGATATTATATATAGCCAAGTAGATACGTACAATTTTTACTGGCTTCAGAGACTTTCGGTACCTTACTGCATTTGTATGAAATTTCCTTCTTTAATTTTCTCTTTTCCTTTTTCTCCCCATTTTCCATCACCTCTGCAAGGCCTAAAATCACTTTATTCTCATTCTTGCCCTGCTTCAGCTGGTACATACTCTTAAAAGCACCTTCCCTCTACCGAATCACTTGACTCAAAACCTTGCTAAATGGGCCTCTGCTCCATCATTTATCAAAAGCAAAGCAACAACTACAGACAAAAATGTGAATGTCACAGAATCATTGGCATTTTTAACAGCTTCATCAGGCAGCCTTTTCCTCCATCCCCGCTTTTAACTGCAATAACCACACTCCAGAGCTCACTGGCAAAAGCATGATTTGTGAAGTAGCAAAACGTTTCAAATGCATTGATTTCACCTATCCTTAAAATAAGGATAGAACATTCAATTCAAGACGTTGTGCACAGGATGAAATGAAATCACACAATTTCACCATGATTTGGAAATGTCCGTGGTGTTTTGGATTTTTTAAATGTTGACAGCTTCCTGCTTTTGTGTTTCATGCACCTTACCTGAAGCGTATTGTAATCTCTTGTAAAGGGCACCATCAGCTCCCAGAGCGATGAAAACACCACCAAGGCCGTGAACTCCAGCTTGTAGTTAGTTGCCATGTGCTCGAACAGCATGGTCAGGCCATGGACTGCCAAGTGTTTCCGCTGGTACTCCTCGGAGCCCTCCACTGACACCGGCCGTGTCATGGAGAGCGACACGTCCATCACCACCACGGTCGGCATGATGAATTGCTCCTCTCTGCTACCGTCGCGAAGAACAGTGATCCCCTGCATGGAGGGGGAAGAAAAAGGCCGTACATGATTACTGAAGCTGCAGTTATGAGGCAAAACGTCTCACTCTCTCACACTGACCTCACCGCGCGGCAGGGGAGGCGACAATTACCTTTTTGCCCCCTCCTCT